GAACTGTAAACGGTTCACACTGGAGTCTGATGGAGGTCGCATTTTAATGACTATGCAAAAAAAAAAATCAGATCTTTGCAAAAAATTGGACTGGAGCATAAACACCTGCTGGGTGAACATAGCCTTAGTCAACTTAGATATTGAGCTTTTCTTGTTCAAGTTTCTTTATTGTCATTCGTATCACGTTGTACATGAGGTGGAACAAAATTGTGTAGTCAAGGTCCCAGTTAGAGCTGTCATTTCTAACCCGAGCCCTAAGCCCAGGCCCACCTGACCCAAATTCGGTGCGGGCCAGGACATGATAATGTCTTGGATGGACGGGCCGGGTCGGGCTTTTAATTGGGTCAGGATCAGCCACGAACCAATGATTTGATAACATGGTCTGCCATACTATCACCAGTTGCACGCTGCCATTTCACCGTGAGCTGACCGGCCTTGAAAGAGGTAAAAAGTTCAGTTAGGCTTCAGATGGGACTATACTGCCAGGAAGTGATCCATCGTCCAAATGGACGTTCATTCAGCCGCTGCACTCAGCGGACGCACGCGGCCGACAACCCAAACAGGTGAGATCGCAAAGCAGACGGGTCAGAGCAGGGTCCGTGTCTAAATAAATCAGAATGCAGGCAGAAGCAGGGTTTAAATGCTCTTTTATGGCCATGAAAGGACAAACACCCCCTCAGCTCCTATCTTCTGAATCAGTTTGGTGTTGGATGTTTCCTTGACTGATGAAGCCTTCTGGATGGAAGGTGAAACGTTTCAGCCAAAAAAAAAGAAACCGTCCAGATGACCCAACTGAAAATTGTTGGATTGTATACCTGGATTACTGCGCATGGACTTTGTTGATTTTGAACCATTTTGACATGACTGTCGACGAGGAAGAGGGCCGGCACCGGAGGAGGGGGCGTGTCAAAGACACCATCTTAGCACCAACATAACTGGTTTGTTCCACTTTGGAGTAAGCTGTTGGGGGAAGAATCAGTTTGGTGTTGTGTGTTTCCTTGACTGATGAAGCCTTCTGGATGGAAGGTGAAACGTTTCAGCACAAAAAAAAAAAAAAAACTGTCCAAGATGACCTGACTGAAAATTGTTGGATATAAAAAGAAACGGTACATAAGGATCTAAAATATACACTGATATACGCTAAACAAATCCCAAACGATACATTAAAGCTCTAAGATATACACTAAACACTAATAATGTCAAACAATACTGCGTAACAGCAGCAGCCCGAACATGAGTCTTTAGATAGTAGATGGGTATGAATGAATACAGCAGCATGAGATAATCAGCAGTACAGATAAGTCACATATCACCAACTAAAGTGGCATTACAGTGATTTTTTTTGTGTGTAGTAGTAGCAGCTGAGAGTCATCCCCACGGTGAGGGCTAAAGCAGATCACGCAAGATTAGTATTCAAAAATTTGGCATCCAGGACAGCAGGTGGTACATTTTGTTTATAATTACTAATCAAGTTAGAAGTGAAAGAAAACTGCCATGAAAGATCAACTTAAAGTTAAGGAGAACTGTTTTTTGTGGCAGCTAAATTTAATAAACCTCTCACTCTAAGAAGGATGGAAAATGGCCTCCACGGTGGGCTAAGGTTGGGAAACTGGCACGGACAGCCCAACAGTTGTATGTAGCAGCCGGTGCTGAGAACACACATGCTAAAACAGCACCGCAGAGCACAAGCTGCTCACTTAGAATAGAAATCCTCAGAATCCAGCAACATCTAAAAGCAAATTAACCTCAACGTCCCCCGTCCCTCAAGCGTGTTAGCCAGGTGATAACACTTCAGTAACAATGTGGCAGCCCGGCAGCGCGAGGGGGGAAAAGTTAATTCAACGTGCGGAGGAGAATGACAACAAACAATATCTCCACACAGCTGCTGCAAATTAAGAGTGCATTTTATATTTTTTAATCATTTTTCAGGGCAGGCGCCAGAACGTTTAATGACAAGAGGAGGAGGAGAAGAGATGGGACGATCCATAAGAATGACAAAACTGTGAACATCCAGGAAAATTCTTTTTGTTGTTGTTGTTTACTCAAAATAATAAAATACTGAACAAATTCATCTTTTGATCTTTGTGCTGGCATAACGTTTATGTTTGCTCAGATTTTTCCACCTTAAAGGAGTAGTTCTAATGTTTTGAAGTAGGGCTTTGAAAATGCTTTAAACAAATAATATCTTACCTGTTGCAGATAACTCTGGCTGGACTGATGAGCTAACATCTAGTCCCGACCAGAAAAAAAAAAAAGTGGTTTGCCCAAGAATTTAATAGCAGTTTATGGAAACATCATATTATAAACTTTTACACCACATTTACCATTACATGATTATTCCAACAAAAAATGTGAATTTTTTGCAGCGCCAGGCCACACAAGAAATGCTTCAGCTAGCTGCTGCTGCCACTGATCCATAAAGAAGCAGTGTTTCCCCTACTGTTATCCAAGGAGGTTGCGCCGCCCTGTCAACAGAACCAAGCACTCTGCTCATTGCCGGCACTGACGTAGCGCTAAGCTAGCGACGCGCAATACAGACGCAATAGCTAAGAAGCTACAGATGTAGCGCTCCGCTTCTCTCCTCTCTCCACCTCCGCACCCCTGTCGACAACTGCTGGCACTAATGTAGCAACTCTCCTCCTAGCTCTTCATAATCTTTGAACAGAATCGTACATGCCTGAACAATTGTTTCAAGGGTTCATAACAAAAATGGCTGCACGAGGCAACAAACAAGAGGTCGATGGGCAGCTATTGAGGGCACTCTGGGGGCAGCTGGGGATGGGGTGTCCTGCTCAGAGACACCACGAGATGTGCAATGACCGGGGATCGAGCACAGGGCCTTCGGGTCCCAGGTCGGCTGCCCTGCCCTTACACCATCTTGGCCCCCATTTTTGCTAAGGAACTTAGTTTAACTTGGGATGTGACTTATCTGTGCTGCTGATCTCATGCTGCTGATCTCATGCTGTTGATCTCGTGCTGTTGTATTCATTCATACCCATCTGCTCACCACAGACTCATGTTTGGGCTGCTGGTGTTATGCCATATTGCCTTACATTAGTGTTTAGCATATATATTTGTGTATATCTTAGATCCTTATATACTGTTTTTTTTCATACTTTATATTTTGCTATTTTTGGGTGCAACTGGGACCCTGGATACATAATTTTGTTCCACTTCATGTACCACATGTGATGGAAATTACAATAAAACTGACTTGAACTTGAAGTGTGATATTGTTTAATATTGCAATGTCAATTGCAAAATAATTTAAAAAATAAAAAATAAATGTCTTTTGCATCTCCTCGCAGCCTCTTCTGTCATCGCCATCATGTAAACCAGGTGTGGGCATCAAGACCAGTCAGCGTCCAGAGGATTGAACTGCAGTCCAGGTAGTTCTCCATGTACTGTACATCCAAATCTTTTGTTTGTTTATTTATGTTTTTATTTACATAGCTAAAGTCATTTACAAATGTTTTCCCATAGAGCTAATCTGTAATTTCTTCAAAACTCATTATTTAATATCTGCTTGGTCATAGATTTTTCACTTTGTACCATAATGCCACTTTTAGCATTTAGCTAGCCATCCGCTATTTTTAGCTTCTAGCCATTCTTCCGATACTTCAATGTAACGTTTGAAAATGTTTCCCTTTAGCTAGTCTTTGTTACTTTTAGCCAGCTTTTTGTTATTTTAGCTAGCCTTTCACTTTTAGTTCATAGCAGGTGTTTAGCTACTTGTGTGTTTCAGCTAGCATTCTGTTCACTTTAGCTTTTAACTAGCCTACTGTTCCTTTCAGCTTCTAGCCAGCCTTTTGCTAGCATTTTATTTTCAACTCAGCAGTGACCTCAGCATTCATGCAGCATTTTCACAGAAAATGCTATTTCGCTAGTTTTAACTTTATTTACTGTCATTTCCGAACTATCGAGCGCACCTGAATACAAGCCACGCCCACTAAATTTTTTTTTTTTTTTTTTTACATATATAGAACCACACTTGTTGATAAGCTGCAGTGTCCACATTGTAACATGCGATATTTACACAAAGATTTTTAAAACGTAATTAAATACGTACTGATAACATACACAACAAATACATATAGTAATTTTTTTCCTGAACAGTGCCTGTAAAACAGCTGGGGAAAAAAGTACAGTAGCCTACCAGGAATTCATTTATCTCTATCTTCATCTTCCTCCTGTGCACTGCACCCTTGAGCTTGTGCTGTCCTCTTCATCACGCAGCTACCTTTCAAAATTTGTTGGTGATAGAGGATTTATTTTTTGACACTGCTCCTCTAAAGTCAGGATCCACTGGCAGACTTGAGCAAAAGTTGCTCTTCGCATGCGGCCAGTTTTGGTAAACGATTTCTCGCTGCCAGTCATCCAAGCCTCCCACCGAGCTTGGGGTGCCACATTAATGCACGATTCACACTTATTTCGAGTGGCCGCAAATACTTCAATGTTTCCCCCCTCCCTGGGGGCACAACGGGGAGGGGAGGAGAGAAAAATGAACCAGTGGATCATTGAAACCAAGTTTCATTGGTTCACTGTGACCTGTTTGGTAATTTCATTGGTCAGATTCATTTTTATTTTTTAACCTTTACTTATACAGGTAGAGTCATTGAGTCACGAAGACCCACCCCCCAAGACAGATGTGTATTGGGCAGCTATGTGAGCACCTGGGTGTGACAAGGCTAAATGTTTTTTAAAATGGTGGCATGAAGCTTGTTAGCCCGTGGAAAAAAATTTTAAAAAAATCTGAATTAGCCGCAGCATTGTCAAAGTGTGCGAAAAAAGCAGCGTCTTATAGTCCAGAAATTACGGTAATTTCCTGAAAATTAAACACAGCCTTTAAAAGTATTTTTGCAAGACCAGCTGACATTTTGTGCAGATCCCAGACAAACAAAAAGGAAAATCAGCATTCAAAACTGCATGCACAAGGAAAACCCTTGATTTCTGCTCCCTTCCAATGCAGCTTCTTCATGTTGTTTATTCCTGCAGCGTACCTGCTTCTCCCTCCAGAGCAGGACTCCCTCCTCAATCAGCTGCTGCTTGAGTCGCAAACCCTCGTCCAAGGTTCTCATCTGGCCCTCCACGTACGCCCTCTCCTTCTGTCCCAGATTCCTGGAGGAAAGGCATTAGAGAGAACGCATCATTACTGAGGAGAAACCTCCACCGCTGTGGTCACCGAGATGCTGCAATCCAATTTTTAAGGGCCCTGCGATGCGGCAGGAATCCAAATGGGAACAAAACAGAAGAGTAAATAAGACGGTTGGGGGAGGCCTGGCGCTGTGTGGTTGAGGTAAATCGCTTTTGAAGCCTGGCAAACACAATCCGAGCGAGGACCTTGTGAAAACATAATGAGATCGACTCCGCTCGCTCGCCGCTTTTTTTTTTTTAGGCGAACGGCAATGAAACACAAATAGGAGGGAGGTCAAGAAAAGAAGTGGCTCGGCGAGCTTCAAACTTCTGCGTCTTGGTGTGGTCGAACTTCGCAGCATGGAGATGATGATGTCAGACGGGATGAAAAGGCTCAGTGTTCGTCTTGTAAACGACACCCAGCCACTACCACAAATTGTATCTCCATCTCTCAAAAACAGACTGAGCTAGAGCCAATTTTGTGTTTTTTAAGGTCAGTTGGATGTGGCAGCCATGTTGCATCAAACTGACTCTGAAATTGTATCATTTGTAGCCGTGCATCCAGTGAATAATCCCTGCAAATTTTATTAAACTGTATCCAGTGCTTTATGAGATATTTTGCTAACAGACACTTGTGAACACACACGCGAGCAAAGACATTGTCTGCCTTCTCTTTTTGGCAATAAAACGAGTTCTTACAAATCCAGCAGCTCAGGAGCACGACAGTATTCTGCAGGGTTAATTATCTGAAAGGAAACATCTTTGGATGATTAAAACATTTTGCAGCTGAGGAACATAAATGATAAAAAAAAAAATAATAATAAAAAAAAAAAAAAAACAGATTAGGAGTTAGGATTGCCTTTAACAAATTTACTCCACAAAACAGTAATTAGTCTGTCTGGAGCTGCATCCAGCTTTGAAATCCTAGTGACACTCTGCCCCCTGGTGGTGCAAAACTGCATCGCCTCCTGCTGAGAAACAGGAGGCGATGCACTTCATATGATCATAAACAGCCTTCTATTAAAAAAAATTAATAAATAAACACATATAACCAAGTTGCACAGTCAGGTTCTAATTCCAGAATTATTTTGCTGACTGAATTGGTTAGGATTTATAAACGCACAAACTGACCAGCAGGTGTTCTGGCAGCGAGTGTGGCTGTTGTATTCATCAGAGGCGTCGCAGCAATCTGCAGACACACACAGGAGGAAGTGATTAACACACACACACACACACACACACACACACACAACAGGAAAACAGAAGACAACGTCAGCACAAACAAGGGAACAATACGTTGTCACTCTAATAAAATATAAGGCAGGGCAGCTGAGATTCTGAGCAGATCCACTGCTTTATGTTGTTCGTTTAAAAACTTTACAACTAATTCATGACACCATTCTTGTTTGTTTTTTGTTTTTTTATTGTACAGTAAAAGGTTTGCAGTTTGATTCGGCATTTTTGAGAAAATGTCCTCCAAATTAAACAAAATCTGATATTTTTTAATGGATGCCGCTTCAAATAAAAAGATCCAACATGCCTTGCAGGAATACATATCTGCCTCTCCTGCCAGAGTTTTAGACAAAGATTATATTTGATGTTGAGAAATGACGGAGTCTGAGCTGTTCTGGTCAAACCTTGGAAGTAATTTGCGCAATCTCCTGCAATATGATGAGAATGCGTTCAGTCCAGGTCAAACTTGTTTCAACCTTTATTTATACAGTTAGTGTCGCTGAGTAGGCCTGTCACGATAACAAATCTAGCTGGGCGATTAATTGTCTCACAAATTATTGCGATAAATGATAATATTGTTTGAAATTTGACAATATTAGTAATTATTGTCAAATTAAAGAAGAAATATTGGTTAATTTGTTTTGCATGTAGTACCTTTTTCGACCACGGGATGGCAGTATAAGACTGTTTGAACCGAAGGATGAATAGTGAGGGAGTGAGCAGCGTGTCTCTTTAAGAAAAATGGGAAGGAGGCCTCTTGACATATCATGGACCGTCTCTCCTTCCTTAATTTGGTTCTCAAAATGGTGGACAGTCAGTGTGATTTGAGCTCTTTAGCATAACATTTTTCACACAAAGCTTTTAATAAAAAAAAATTAAAAATACATCTGTAAACAAGTTCTCAGCTTCTTTTTGCAGAGAAAAACAACTTTATACGTGAAGGCACAGGTTTCGACTGAATTGTGGAGCTTTGACAAAAGGTTTTTCCCCGAGGCCGGCCTTTTAGCTTAGCTCGTAGCTTAGCTTCTCAGTTTAGCTGCTTTTAACGATCCAAAAACGCGATTCTGGATGGTTAAAATGAATTTTAAAGAGAAAGGGAGGGGTCAGTGAAGAGCACCGGAGTTGAGTTGTTTTCTCATCCAGTGTCTTCAGTAGAACGAGAGAGACGAAGAAATGATAAAGCCGATAAATGAAAATGAGGTAGATAATTCTCATTTATCATGCGATTAATTGATTTATTGTTTATTGTGACAGGCCTATCATTTAGTCATGAGGACTCATTTACAAGAGTCCTGTTATAAACAAAACCAGATTCATTCAACCTTTATTTAGACAGGTAAATCTCATTGAGCCTCGAGGACTCATTTACAAGAGAGACCTAATTATAAGATAAGATAAAGGTACACACAACAATAAACAGCCATAAAATGCATATAAAATTAGAAGTAAATAAAAGTTATGATATTAATTAAAATAAAAACAAGATACATTATGAAACGGGGTAAAATACTAAAAACAGGAACATGTCTACATTGATATTTGTATTGAACTTAACAATTGTTTAAAATCCCTTAGAGAAGTAAAGGTCGACAGCTTCAGATATTTTTGCAAGGTGTTCCAGAAAACAGAAGCGAAGTAGGAGAAGGCCCTTTTGCCGAATTCAGTCCGTACTGAGGGGACGCTGCAGGTAATGATGTCCTGAGAGCGCACGCTGTAGCTGCACTCACGATGTGACATGTACGAGGAGATGTATGAAGGCAACAGACCAAAGAGTGACTTAAAGATGAAAATGTACCGGTGAGAGTCTGCGTGAAGTTAATGATGACCAGTGTTGTGGCTAGAATACCACGTCGTGTTCAAAACGGCTGAGGCGTCGCCCTTCGTATAAAAGATTTATTTGACACAACATGGGTTACAGATATTCAGAGACAAACAATTACAATAATAAGATATATGCATATAAATGGAGCATTAAGAACGAACCGTCGCCGTGTGCGCCTCCCGGAAATGCTCGGTGGGCGTGTGTCATTTCCGGCCTTTTATCCCCGTTTGAGAAGGCTAGCTTCCTGATTGGTTCAGCTTGTCGCTATGGTTATGACTCTTAGCCCGCCCCCTCAAGGACGTTAACGTCTATATTTCAGATAAGTTTTGGTACACCGAAATCGGCTTTTGTTTAAAGTTTAATTTGCTATTATACTTTTAGGGATACAAAATGATTCGTGTCTAAATTGTTTATACGTAATAATTAATAACTATTAATTATTACCTACCTCATGGGTGTTAATTCAATATCTGTTGAAGGCCTGGTGATTCTGTTTTTTAAGGCAGATTCATCTTATTTTCCTTGTCTGCGTTTAAACTGTTAACACTGTTTGTTTAACGTGATTATACCTTAGTGATACCAACTGATTAGAAATAAAGTTGTTTATTTCTAGGAATAATTAATAACTTAATTATTATCCAACTCATGTTTGTGTTTTTATTTGGATCATTTTTATATTTGTTTTAGTTTAGTTTCAGTTGGATTTTACTTAGTCAAACTATATTGTCTAAATTAAAGAGATGTGTTCTAGCTTTATGGCATAATTTGATTGCTTGTAATCTATCAAATGTGAACTTGTAAAATTATCTTTAGCTCCTATGAGATTATATTTAAAGGTCAGCTAGTTAGAATTAGCAAACATTTTTTATAAACATAGTTCAACCCTGGAAGAAAGACACGCACACACTTTATATGACATGACATTTGAGTGCTTGATAGGAATTATAAAAAGGTATAAAATATTAAATCCAACACCAGTTAACCAGTGAATGCAGGGTGCAATGATGTAGTAGTTACAGCCAGTTATGAATCGTAACGCACCATGATAGACAGAGTCCAACATGTGCAAGGTGCTTGTAGGGGCGTTCATGTAAATAATGTCACTGTTTTGGAGGGAAAGAATGTAGCATCTACAAGGCGTTTCCTAGCATTCAGAGTTAGACAAGATTTATTTCGGAAAAAAACCTGTTTAATTTCCAATTTCTTTATCAAGTTATCGACTTGAGGCTTAAAAGAGATGTGCATCGACCAAGATTCCCAAGTATATGTAAGAATCCACAAACTCAATAGGAACACCATTCATAGATAAGATAGAAGGAATGACTGCTGGTACTGACTTCCTGTTTGAAAACAACATCCCTTTGGTTTTATCAGCATTTAGCATCAGTTTGAGATGGAACAAATCTGACTGGATCATGTCAAAAGCAGACTGTAAACGTTGGAAAACCTTAGCAACTGTTCAACAATAAACAACTGTATCGTCGGCATAGAAATGTAAGGATGCATCAGGAATGATCTGTCCTATATTATTTATGTAGATTGCAAAGAGAGTGGGTCCTAAGACTGAGCCTTGGGGTACACCATTGTTGACAGTTAAATAACTGTAAGAAGTACCATTATGTTGGAACACATTGCCTCCAATCTGAGAGATAGTGTGTTCTGAGAAAACAATGTCTGAGAGCTTGACATTAGATGTCATGATCTACAGTACCAAAAGCTTTAGACAGGTCTAATTTTTAATTTTCCACCTCCCTGCATGGTACGGTCATCTGAGCTGTAGACTAAAAAGCAAACGTTTAAGAATTGTTTCAATGGCAGGTAAAATAGTGGGGAAACCACAAAAAGCTCTGTCTCAACTGTATGTAGAAAGAACATGGAAGACGGCAAGAAATATTTTAGCAGATAGCATCCATCCTCTTTTTCGTCAGTTTGAACCTCTGAGCTCAGGAAGGTGTTATAGGGTCCCTCTGGCAACGAAGAACATCTATAAGGTCATTTATTCCAAGTGCAATAACCATTCTTAACCAAATCAAATGATAACATTCACCTATGGTGTGCAAAGTGTTTTATTCTATGAACAAATTGTTGATATTTTGATTGTATAAATGTGTTTTATTTTATGGTTGGAGAGAAAAATTTCCACCTTGGTGGACAATAAAGTATTATCTCATCTCTTATCTTAAATAAAGTGCAGCACAATAGTCCTTAGCATCCAGTGCTTCAACATTGTTAAAAACCTTCAAAGAAGCAATCATTGTGCTGTGTTGTTTCCTAAAACCAGACTGATCAGGAGGTACGATGTTAAAAGAACCCAAATACTTCTTGACTTGAGTTTTTAAGTATTTATTAGAGTATTTCCAAACTTATTTGGAATCAGCAGGATTCAAGCACAACGAGCCAAAATGATGGATTGAATGTAGTCACACTCGAGGCAGAATGAGCTGGAAAGCCGTTGTATTGACAGTTCTTTGTATATTCCTAGATATTCAAAGTGCAATTAAATATTCTTATCACAATCGAGTGGGGAAAAAAGGAATAGAAAGCCACTTTAAATCCTAGCAGAATGTCTCAAATGCATCTTGGGTGCCACCAAAATCTATTTGAATATGAAAACAATCCAGTTCAAATGCACATTAAATGCCGTCTGAATGTTTTGGTTGCTGCAGGAACGTGGCTCGGATGTAGCTGGAGCATTCTAATCGTGCCTCTGATGAATCCGGGCGCAATTCAGAGCACCGCCGAATCGCGGAAAAACACAGTGGGCTGCTCAAATTTTCATCAATTTTTCCACGTTTCACAGGATTTGCACATTGTGGCGCCAAAACAGAAGGGAGCCACGGTCGAGAACTGCCTTCACGAATGGGGGAAAACGTGCTACGGCCTAAGAAACCCCTTCACCTCCCTGCCTTAAACTCTGCCCAGTTTTCCAGCACAGATTCCTGAACGCATCTTTCACTGCCTAAAAATCTGCAGATAAAGTGAATAAAACCTGTCCACCATCTGCTGATCTGACCACCGACATCCCATCTTTGAAAACGATGAGTTCTTTGTGTTTACATGATGTCTCTCCCTCTCTGCTGCACAGAGGATTCTCTTGACTTCAACCACTTACACCATCAGCTGCGAGCGCTCAGATCTGGCTTTTGCTCGGATGTTTCACCAGGAGAGCGAGCACGCTGGGAAATTTCTCAATTATCCAGAAACCCCGTTGGTGACCGGCAGAACGAGGGCTTTACAACCGAAAAAAGGAACGCTGGAAACCTCTCGACTAGCAGCGAGGACGTGTTTGAGTTTAAGCAGCTACCTTGGAGGTGGGAAACAGGAAGTGGGAGGAGAATAAAAGAGAACGTTTCCCCGCTGACTTTTTTTTTCCCTCCCTCAATCCTTTGTTTTTGCTCTTTTAAAGGCCGCATGTGGTCTGAATTTGCTGCTAAGACGAAAAAAGAACATTTTGACGTTTGAGATAAAAGTTCGAAGTGGTCTCCTCAGTGTTAAAATCAGTATTAAAACCAGCGGGACACTAAAACCTCAGTAAAAGAAAAACACAAAACCGTTGCGCAGCCGATGAGTTCAAAACACGACGACGTGTCGGAGCCAAAGGGTTCAACTCAAACGGTACAAAGAGGTTTCCATGATCCGAAAACACATTGTCATACATTTTAATGTTTAAAACTGATAAACCAATATTTAACACAAGATCCAGAGTGTGGCCATGTTCACGTGTTGGACCCGACACAGACAAAACTAAATTAAGAGTCCAAAAGATTAAAGAAGTCTTTGACCAATGACTTGGAGGGACAGTACACGACAATATTAAAATCACCAACTATTTAAACAATCTCATATTCTGACATTATTCCAGCTGAAAAGTCTGAAGTACTTTTTAAAATCCTTATTTAGGAGGTCTGTGGGGCAAAGCGACCCAACTCAAGCATCAGAAGTTCAGATTTGACTAAAAGTCAGTTAAAAGTCATTTACTGGTGAACTTCTACCTAAAAACAACTGCTACTCCTCCACCACGCCCAGAAACCCTCGGTGCGTTAAAGTCCAGAGAAGCAACTGAACTCTCGACACTCTGCCAGGTCTCACGAGACCCATGCTTGTCAGGACCAGGTCCATAGCCAACGGCCGCAAACACACGGGATTCACTCCTCCCAAATGGAGACCAGGTTAGGGCTGGCGAGGGATTAATATCTGCAGTACGGCAACGGGTACCAGACTGGTGTAGCACGGGTCCAGAGCGCACCAGGGAATAAAACGCCGATAAAGTCTCTCAGGCCCGGCAAGGATTAGAATAGGGTCGGCGGCGGTCCCACATATGTCAAACTCAAGAGCTGTGGGCCAAATCTGGTCCCCCCAAGATGATAATTTAAATGTAAAATATTGTATATCTTCTTTTTTTTTTTTCTTAAACTGATAAAACCATAATTTAGTATAGACTTCTCTTGCCAGCTGGCTAATTTTGAAGCCAGAAAGACGCTGGATCATTCTATCATTAATGAGTCTGATGTGGAAAGTAACAGAACTTCAAATGAGACAGATCAAACTCGTGTTCATGAACCTGCAACCAAGAAAAGTCATCAGGTATCCGACTCGAGTTAGGTATCAGCTGAGAGTGGCCTGTGGCTCAGAAAAAGTGTTTAAATTTTGGCTCCTTTTGGTAACGGAGTTCGACACCCCTCGGTCCAGCAGATGTAAAAAAAAATCATTTTTATTCTAAGTTTGCCGTGTTTTCCTCGGTGTCTCCGATGCTTCCTGAGCAGAGGCAGAACCGGGCCACGGCAAGAGGTGGGCAGGAACACATGACAGGATTGGAGCCTTCTGGCCTCCAGAGTTGCATTTACTGTAATTTCTGGACTATTGAGCGCACATGAATATAAGCCACACCCGCTACGTTTTTCTACAAAGAAAATTAAAATTTTACATAAATAGGCTGCACTTGTCTAAGCCGCAGGTGTTCACGTTGTAACATGAGATATTTACAAAGAAAGATTTTATTTTACTTTTAATTAAATATGTACCAGTAACACGCACAAATAAAGTTTTTTTTTCTGAACAGTGCCTATAACAAGGCTAATAAAATAAAATGGTCTACCAGGAAGTCATTGATCGCTACGCCAAGAGAGATGTGTATTGGGCAGCTATGCAAGTGCCTGGGTGTGATGAAGCTAAATGTTTTGGTGGCATGAAACTCGTTAGTCCGTCAAAAAAAATTTCCATAAATTTGCCGCAACATTGTATAAGCCGCGGTGTGAAGAGCGTGTAAAAAAAAAAGTAGCGGCATACAGTCCGGAAATTACAGTATTTGATTCAAGGGCAGCAAAATGAAGATCCAAAAGAGTCTGGACACCAATACACCAACATGAAGTATCCATTCTTAAAAAAAGAAAATTCCAAAAAAATAGAAAAGATAAAAACAGACTGTACACCGGCACCATCTTTCTTGCCTTTTATATTTATAGATTTATTTTCTTTAATTTTTTTCCCTTTTTTTCTTTCCTTTTTGTTTTCCTTTTCTTTTTTCTTCTCCTCACCTTTTTTCTTTCTTTTGTTTTCCTTTTTTTTCTTCCTTTTTTGTTTCCCTCCAACATGAAGTATTCATTCTTAAATAAAAAAATAGAAGATAAAAAGAGACTGTACACCAACGCCATCTTTCTTTCATTTTATATTTTTAGATTTATTTTCTTTAATTTTTTTCCCTTTTTTCTTTCCTTTTCATTTTCCTTTTCTTTTTTCTTCTCACCTTTTTTTTCTTTTTTCCCTTCCCCCCCCCCCCAAAATATTTTTTTCACCTTTTTTCTTCTTTTTTTCTTTTTCCTTATTTTTCCCTTTTTTTTTCTTTCCTTTTTGTTTTCCTTTTCTTTTCCCCATTTTTCTTTCTTTTGTTTTCCTTTTTTCCCTTTTTTTTCCCCAAATCTTTTTTCCCTTTTTTCCTCTTTTTTCTTTTTCCTTACTTTTCTCTTTTTTTCTTTCCTTTTTTCTTCTCCCCTTTTTACTTTCTTCTGTTTTCCTTTTTTTTCTTCCCTTTTTTTTCCCTCCAACATGAAGTATTCATTCTTAAAAAAGAAAATAAAAAATAGAAGATAAAAAGAGACTACACCAACGCCATCTTTCTTTCCTTTTATATTTATAGATTTTTTTCTTTCCTTTTTTTCCTTTTTTCCCCCCTTTTTTCTGCCCTTTTTTCTTTCCTTTTTGTTTTCCTTTTTTTTTGTTCTCCCCTTTTTTCTTTCCTGTTTTCCTTTTTTCCCCTTCCCCCCATTCTTTTTTCCCTTTTTTCCTCTTTGTCCTTATTTTTCCCTTTTTCCCTTTTTCCTCTTTTTTTCCTTATTTTTCCCTTTTTCTTTTCTATCCTTTGTTTTCCTTTTTTCTTCTCCCCTTTTTTCTTTCCTTTGTTTTCCTTTTTTTCTTCCTTTTTTTTTTTTTTTTTACTTTTTATCCTCCAACATGAAGTATCCATTCTTAAAAAAATAAAATTCCAAAGAAAATAGATAAGATAAAAACAGACTGTACACAGGCACCATCTTTCTTTCCTTTTATAGTTATATTTTTTTCTTTCATTTTTTCCTTTTTTCCCCCTTCTTTTTCCTTTTTTTTCCCAATTTTTTCTTTCCTTTTAGTTTTCCTTTTTTCTTTTTTCTTCTCCGCTTTTTT